CTCCTATTCATTTTTGGCAAAATTTGACCAAAATCCCTGTACTATATAGTAGAGGGGCTTTGACACAATTTTGGAGCAAAGTTAAAAATTTGTAAAAAAAACTATTTTTGATTGGAATATCAAAGGGCACCTTATTTTTACTCTACTTACAGTGTTCTCCTCTGTCAATCGACTGACTTTTTCTTGCAAGAATTTCAAGAGAGCATTGTTACTGATTGATTGCTGCGAGTAGAAGGACTGATTCTTAGTCACTAATGACTCATTCCATTCCTTCATTTCTGAAGGAAGTGAATAATACAGACTGGCATCATCAAACACTGAATTATTATTAATACTATCTATAGAGGGAGAGAGAGAGAGAAGAAGAACTAAAACTAAGTGTTGCTACTTGTAATACTATACCATCATGCTCTGGAACGTTTGTCTCTTGAAGTCTTTCACTTGCAAAAGTCTTAACTCTTTTGATACTCTCGGACAAGGTCTCTTGTACAGAGACTTTCCTCTCAACTGAGCTTCTTTGCTGAGCTGATGAAGATGATGACAATCTCCTGGTGGATGGTGTGACTATAATAACTATACAAAACTAAGTTACATTCTATCAAACTCTCATTACCATCATTCTCATCTATTTCTTGCACTTGCTTATCAAGTTCATCAAGTTTCTCATTAAATAAAGTTACTTCCTATTATGTCAAAGGATATGTAGACACACAAACTAAGTATTTACTTACCAGTTGCCTCAGCTCTTCATTCTGTACAAGTTCTTCTTTAACCTGGGCAAGCTCCATCTCTAAAGCTTCTCTCTGTATTTTCTCATTCCTCAATTCTTCTGTCATGTCATTCAGCTCATTCTTAAGTGCAGCGCATTGTGACTCATATACTGATAGATTCTCTAGCTCTTTACATTTCTTGTCAAGCACACCAAATTTTTATTACATTTTCTAATACATATTGATGTTCTTATGCTATGTAGCAAGTTTGAGCTGATGCCGACAAATATTTTTCGAGTTATGGCCATTTTTTAAAAACTCCAAATTTCGGAAAAATACCCTGTACTATAGCCCATGGTTTTTTTCAAAAAATGGCTAAAAAATCACCCCAAATTTTTATTACATTTTCTAATGCATGTTGATGTTCTTATGCTATGTAGCAAGTTTGAGCTGATGCCAACAAATATTTTTCGAGTTATGGCCATTTTTTAAAAACTCCAAATTTCAGAAAAATACCCTGTACTATATAGCCCATATTTTTTTCCAAAAAATGGCTAAAAAATGACCCCAAATTTTTATTACATTTTCTAATACATGTTGATGTTCTTATGCTATGTAGCAAGTTTGAGCTGATTCCGACAAATATTTTTCGAGTTATGGTCATTTTTTAAAAACTCCAAATTTCGGAAAAATACCCTGTACTATAGCCCATGGTTTTTTCCAAAAATTGGCTAAAAAATGACCCCAAATTTTTATTACATTTTCTGATACACATCGATGTTCTTATGCTATGTAGCAAGTTTGAGCTGATTCCGACAAATATTTTTTTCAAGTTACGGTCATTTTAAAATTGTCCTCTTATAGGGTGAGCTGGTGGCTTGTGGTGTTCTCTCTGGCAATCGTAACTTTGAGGGACGTATCAATCCTCATACAGCTGCTAACTACCTTGCCTCCCCTCTCCTGTGTATTGCATATGCCATTGCAGGGACGGTACTCATTGATTTTGAGAAAGAGCCATTAGGTAAGAGAGAGAGGGGGCCATTAAATCACTTTTCTCTCATTTCAAAGGTAAAGATCCTTCCAGACAGCCTGTGTTTCTCCGTGATATTTGGCCACTAAGAGCTGATATTTAGTCAAAAAGTTGAAGTAGAGTATGTCCGCCCTGCAATGTTCACTGAAGTATATTCTAAAATAACTGTGGGTAATTCCCGTTGGAATGCTCTGGAGGCTCCTCAGTCAATCCTTTATCCTTGGGACACCAGCAGCACCTACATTAAGCATCCTCCTTTCCTTGAAAATATGGTAAATAAAAATAACAATGGTTAACCCAGTTTTTATAACTTGATTACTATGCGGCTTAACCACAAAAAATTTGTGTGGCTTATCATTAAATTTTCAATGGTTTTTAGACAGTAGATATTCCTCCTGTTCCTACTATTGAAGAAGCCTATCCACTCCTTAATCTAGGGGACAGTCACCACTGATCACATCAGTCCTGCTGGGAGCATTGCCAGGAATTCACCAGCTGCTAGATACCTGAGCAGCAAAGGGTAAGCTTTTAGTTTTATAAATGTACTATATAGCAGGAAGGATTTGGAATTTTTTTTAGTCTAGTGAGCAAAGATGTAAAATTAATGAGGCATCTTATAATGCACCCCTCTTCTGCCAATTGCTCTATATCAATATGTCCTATACAGCATTTCATTTTGAATCTTTTTGTTTATTTTAGACTCACACCTCGCGAGTTCAACTCTTACGGCTCAAGAAGAGGGAATGATGATGTTATGGCCAGAGGCACTTTTGCTAACATTCGTCTCCTGAACAAGTTTATAGGCAAAGCCGGACCAAAGACTATACACTTACCATCAGAAGAACAAGTGAGACTATGAAGCTTTACTTTTCTCTTGATCATAATACATCAGTTGTAGATGGATGCATGTGTTTGATGCTGCAATGAGATACAAGAAAGAAGGAAGGGACTTGATAATACTGGCTGCCAAGGACTATGGAAGTGGACCTTCAAGGGATTGGGCTGCTAAAGGACCTTGGATGCTGGTAAAAAAACTATAATTATTGATATGGGGGAAGGGGAGCAAAAATATGGAGGGACAGCCATATTTGCTATATCTAGGGAGTAAAAGCTGTTATAGCAGAAAGCTATGAAAGGATACACAGGAGCAATCTGGTTGGAATGGGTGTCATACCACTGCAGTACTTGCCTGGAGAGACTGCTGATACTCATGGCCTAACTGGTAAAGAGAAGTACAGCATTAAAGTGCCTGAAAATCTGATGCCTGGCCAAACTATTAATGTAGAAGTAAGTAAAGGAGATAGTATAAACACATTTTTATTATTTTCCTTTTTGAAATTTTTAATTTATTTTATTGTAGGTTTCAAATGGTAAAGCTTTCAAAGTGAGGGTAAGGTTTGATACAGATGTGGAGCTAAATTACTTCAAGCATGGAGGGATATTACAGTTTATGGTCCACAAGCTATTGAAGTGATGCCTCTCTCTCTCTCAATTTTATTATTATCAGTGATGACTTGTAGCATTATTATTATTATCATTGACATCATTATTTTTTACAATAAGTACATGCTGGTATACAGTTGTCTGCATGCTGTGAACTTGTTTGACTGTTACATGTATAGAACTATAGATTATGTTTAGTTTTTTTCAATCATGATAATTAACAGGAAGAAATTCAAAGAATGCGATAGACAGAGAGAAAACTAGAAGAAAAAATCAAATCAAAGTTCCTAAATTAAAGTTATCAAAAACAGCTAAGCATTACTCTCATGGACACTCTCATTATCACGTACACCATAACTTTTAAAACTATGCGAATGCATTAACTCGGTAGATCTATTATTGACAGATTGATGAATGTCAGAATTACTGACCAGTGGCTGTCTCGCTTCGTTATCTCTGTCTCTAACAGCACAGCGTCTCTTACAGCAGCAATAAACTTTTGAGAACCATTCCTTCAATGTGTCCCAGTTCCTCAAATAAAAGAGACGACAATAAACAATTGCAATCCATACAAGAGGAATCCACACTAGTATACCCTGAAGGATGAAAGCCCATTTAGATAGTGGAACATCTGCCAATGTATATGCATACTGATAGAGGCTTAGAGCTATCAGCAGTGAGAGAAGTAGCATTGAAGAAGCCTCAATAATATTGGGATCAATCTTTTTAGGGGTCTTTCCATCTTCTTGCGTCCTCTTATATGGATGGAATAAGACAACAACAATGGCATAGGTTATACATATAATGAACTGGAGGAATAGAAAA